TGAATGAATTGATTGAAAGATTGAAAGATCTTTCTTTGTCGGCTTTGTCGTATCGTAAACCTTTTGTCGAGCACGACAGCTTTAACAAATTCATAATGTCTTTAAACGTACAGTCACGTAGTCTTCTGGAAGAAGATATCGAATTTAAAAAGATCAGAGAACGATTACAAGAGAACGCGTTTCGTTTCAAGTTCGTTTCGCGTTTCGAAAAGCTTCGAACCAGCGAGCATCGGACCAAGAGACCAGCGCGCTAGCCACTGAGCCACAGAGGCAGTTGTTGGGGGTGCCTGGAAACTCGGTTAACCCAACGCTGATGGCCTTGATCGCCGATTAACGCTGATAGGCGTACAGTCACGTAGTCTTCTCGAAGAAGATATCGATTTTAAAAAGATCAGAGAACGATTACAAGAGAACGCGTTTCGTTTCAAGTTCGAGTTTCGAAAAGCTTCGAAAAGTTTCGAACCAGCGAGCATCGGACCAGGAAACCGGCGCGCTAGCCACTGAGCCATAGAGGCAGTTGGTGGGGGTGCCTGGAAACTCGGTTAACCCATCGCTGATGGCCTGAATCGCCGAGCCTTGATCGCCGCTGATAGGCGTACAGTCGTGTAGTCGATAATTCTTTCACTGATAACTTCGCGTAAATTCAACGCTAAACGAAGTTATTATACTCATTCGATAGCTCTAAATCTCCTCTATTAAAACTAGCATCAAATTATCAAGGATTTTTTGCAAAATCAATAACAAATCCTTAAAAACAAGTTGACACAAAAAAACTCTTCAAAAATCTTAAAAACAAAAAAAATCTTCAAAAATCTTAAAAACAAAAAAAAGCAAAACCCAATAAACCCGATCAACTTTGTGCTTTCGTAAACACCGCTTTTCTAGCGTACCGCCCATTGGTTTATTGTGCGAGAAAGCGAGAAAAAGCGAGAAAAAGCGAGAAAACCATTCTTAAGACAAAGAAAGGTTAAAATTTTCGTTTTCCAGGCTGTAAACCGAAACAGATTTTTTTGCAAAAAAAAAAAAAAAAACAATAAATCTTGACCATTTTCTAAGCTTTATCTTTATCACGTTTAATCTCTGAACAAATGTGAACAAAATCCTACTCCATCAAAAAAAAAAACTCCGGTTTCCCTTTTCCACCGACCGCTGACTCGTTGTTTTGCAAGCATAACTTTCAATAATGTGCTTTGTCAAAAATTGCAAAACATTTTTGCTGAAGAAAAAAATCATTTTCAATTTGCGTCTATTGCAATTGACGAAAGCACATGGATCGTTAATCGTTTATCTGAACAAAACCAAAACAAAATCCTACTCCATAAAAAAACTCCGATTTCCCTTTCCAAAACATCATCATCGTTTTTCCTCGCGCAGTCACATGACATCCATATCTTCTTTTTCGCATCGCATTCGCAATCGTGGGCGTATTCTCGTCTCATCGTTCCCCAGGGGGATACGGAAATGGGGAAAAGTTTATGGGGAAAAGTTACGTAGAAAAAAAAAAAAAGTTTCGAACTATGCTTTTTTTCTCAACGACCAACAATGTTCTATTTCAGATATTACGATTCCCCGTACCTCTACAAGCGCTCTCTGGATGGCTACATGCTTCCATATGGATATTATTGAGTAAAATAGCCCGTAGAAGCCCCCTCAAAGCGATTTCTCCCTACAGTCTCACTTTGTGATCTCACTTTTTTGGCCCAATTGAACTTTTTTTTATCTTCGTCACTAAATTGGTCTACAGAAATAAACGTTTATTTTGTTACAATTTTGACGAAAAATAAGAGATTTTACAAAAAAAAGAACAAAAAGCACGACAAGAAATGCCGAAAATATCACAAATTTTTACACTGAAACGGATCGAAAAAAATTGGGGGAGACGCTTGAAAATTTTGGATGGATCGAGCTAAGCGGACAAAAACGCCCTTTGAACAAAAATTCTTTGAAATTTCAAGATGTTGCGGTCAAATTTTACTCGCGGGAATGCGCATTCGATGTCTTTCTTTTTTCATGTAGTCATGGGAGAAACGGTTCGCAAGATTTCGGGCAATAAAACAAAGAACAAAAATCACAATAAACAATTTTGAATTTAGCCAAAAAGCGTCAATTTTCTCATTTCTACAAACCAAAAGAAAGTCTCAAAATTTTTGGTGTTGAATTCGATTTTAAAGCAAATCTCTTTAGCTTAGTTTAGCACTTTGAAGGGTTATGTCGTAAATTTCAAAAACGAAAAAAAAAGCTAAAAGCTCCACAAAAAGCACCAGAATTTCGTTAAAATGGTGCGTGATATTTACATGAAAAGTACAAAAATCACAAACTGATTGCTAGAGTTTACAAGATCGAAACGTATAATGCACTTTAGTCAAACTTGAATCCACCAAAAATCGTTCTCAATTTGCGATTGCGTGCGCCGGTAACGTCTCGAATTCGTCCTCTTTCGCCGGATTGCTGCTCTCACCCTTTTGAAGTCCGGCTTTCTCCTCAAGTTCCTGAAAAAAAAATAGTTTACTGGCAACGAGTACTGAGTTGTTACATGCTACAGTTAACGTTTTTCTTACAGATCAACTACTAGACACTGGTAAACGCTAATTTTTGGATAAGTATTTAGTGATTAGCACAACGATCTTCGTTATAAACAAGATTTTCGAGAAATTCGCCATTAAACTTGAGTGTATTAAAATTTCCTGGATCAAGTTCCATTCAGTTCCATTCAGTTCCATTGATCCATTGATCCTTGATAAGAATTGTAATTCAGACAAACAACAAACCTGTATAACGCGAGACGTTTCACGGAAGACTTTTCCTGGCTTGAAGATCAACATTTTCGAGAAGAAGCCAAGCTGAAGTAAAACCAAGTTTAGATTCTCAAAATATCACGTTTAACTTTAAAAATTAAGCTACTTTAACTTTAAAAAACGTACATCTTTAACCGGATAGAGAATGTGCATGTGCAAGTGATTGACGCGAATCATTGGCGGCCAGTGAAAACCGATACGAAGCATGTCTTCGACCTGGAAAAAGAAAAATATTGTCAACTTTAGCTCAGAGTTGCAAGTTTTAGGTGAGTTAGATACTAAAGTACGACTTTTTTTTTCTTTAAAGAATCAAATCCCCAACCGTGTCCGCTTCGCCTTTCGCTTTCAGATCCAATCGTAGCACCTCACGACCGGTTTTCTCCATCTCGCGAACTAAAAAAACAAACAACATTATAACTTGAAAAAACAGCGTGATAAGTTGTATGTTATGGTAAAATTCCGTAAAAAACACTTTAAAACTCACTCAACGGAATGTCGGCAAAGGTGAGATCGGTGGGTCGATTGATATGCGCATGCGAGAGGACCAGGTAGTGATGGGGCACCTGGGGCTTGTGGTCTTTAATCACGACACACTAAATTAAACTATTTTGATTTTGATTGTTATGAATTATCTTAAGAAATTTGTCAGGCATACTTTCAATCTTTTAAATCTCGTTAAAATGAAAGGGAAAGTTGTTCTATGCCAAATTTTCTAGGTCAAGCCAAGCCAATCCTTGGCGTTTAACTCGGCTTGATTAGTCACGACTTTTTGGATCAACCCAAGCTAACCTAGAAGGTTTTCTTAGGTCAAAAGTACAAAAGTCCATCCAGAACACAGCCCTTTCAATCCACCTTGTCATTCATTGCCAACTGAAGATCCCTCTTGCCATTGCCATGGATGATGTCGCAGAAGATGCAGCCGGGCACCGCGTTCATGGTCCTTAAATGAAGAAAACGTGATTTGATCAAGAAATTATTGGTATTGAAAAATAAGAACAAGACAATCGTGAGTTCAAAGACCTTAAATTTGCATAAAAATAAGAGATACCTGTACAGATAATAAACGCTCAAAGCTATTGGAATAGCCCCAAGTAGTGAATACCAAATATCCATGTTTTTTTTGAGTAGCTAAGGATAGCTTGGTCAATAGAGAATTCCCGAAAAACAAGCGAAAGAAAGGGGGGGGGGGCAAAAGAAGAAATGAGTAAATTGATAAGACGGGGAAAAAAAGAGCAGTTCTCTATCGATAGTTCTCTATAAACAAACGAAGAAATCTATGCATATCGAAGTTTTTGCAAATTTTTCAAAATTCTATCGATTTCGATAAAGTTAAATTAAGAATTAAGTTAAATTGAAAGCAATTCAAAGGATTCTTTTTCACCGAATCAATACGTTCAATGAAGAAAGACGGCATATAAAAGGAAAACGAAGTAAACAGCACACGCGTGCGGAAAATTAGCCCCTCGAGGAGGACATAAAAATTTGGGAGCTTGCCGGGGGAGTGAACAAAAGAGGGAGAAAAGCGGCAAAAATATTTGCGGAAACGAATCCTGAATGAGTTTTATGGATCAATCCACAAAAAAAACTCGTCTTAACCTATTTTTCAGAACACAAAAGGTTGAATGTATAAATTTTTACGGAACAATCAGCAAAAATTCACCGAAATATCCCAATTTTTCAGAGCATATGAAATGGTTATGGCTGACGGGCCAATAAAATCCATTTGGGGTTCGTTTTCAAATATTGGAACGATTGCGGACAAAACTTTACTCCCATTATGGAGAAAGTTAAGTTTAACCCAGAATTTAGAGATAGAGAGCCAACATTATACACAAAAATGCCGATTGCCATCGAAACTATCAATTCTCCCTTTCCCCCCACAAAATAATCTCCTTTGTAATCGGTCGGAGCGTGGGTTTGTGAGTGATCAAATAGACCCGTCAGTACAGAGACACAAAAAGAAGAATATCACAAAATAAACTTTCGAAAGTACTTTCCAAGCGTGATTACGGACGTGTCTTTGCGAAGGTTGACGGGTTTTTCTGAAAACATTTATTGCGACAAAAGAAAACTTAAAACGAAATCGAAAAAAGTCACCAGATTAGCGCAAAATAGGAACAAATAACTTTTCGATCACTTACTAAACATACGGGTTTGAGAAATAGACAAAATATAATAATACCAAAAAACCGCATGGAAAACCTAGTAACCGGAATAATCTTCATGATCGAATAATGCTTGATCGTAGACTGAAGCGGAAATCGTTCGACCGCCGAAGAAACGTCCATCCAACGCCTTCTTTGCATCATCTACCTGCAAAAAAGAAGATTATAAACGCAGAGTTAGGTATTTTAGCGTGTAGTAGTAATAAAAGTTATATAAATTGCGAGCTTTAGGCCACAATACACTAATACTTGAATATTTGAGAAAAACCGCATACCTGGTTCGTCGTTGAGAACTTGACAAATATCTTGACCACATCATTTGCCTCGTCGTTTACAATCAACACCTAGAATCGGAAATGTAAACATAACTTCGAATCAACTTACGTCCTCAACGTCTCCATATTTCGAGCACTCTTCTTTTATTTCATCTTCCAATAAGTCATCGATCTCTTCAGCGCTCACCATATTCTTTAGCATCAATATTTGCGATCGATTCACGCGCATCAACTTTGTCATCAACAAGTGTCTCGAGTCGTTTCCACTAAAAAAAACTTTCATGAAACTTTGAAAATAAACTTATTAGAGGTTAGGATAGCTTAAGCATAAACACCAACCGTATTTCTAAACCTTCCTGTGATGCGAGAGTTGCTTCATCCTTGTTCACTTCTTTGTCGATAATTTGATCACTCATTGCACCAGCTTTCTCGGCGGCTGCCAAAGCGGCATCGCTGTTCAACTAAAATAAAATGATGATTAAAATTAAGCACGAGCTATTTTCTAGATATAGCTTTATTTTACATACATAATGGTTTCTACATCTCCAAGAGTACAAACCTTTGGCCCTTTTGTGTTCGACGCTTTCACAGGCTTTGTTTTCCTCTTGATCTTTGCCGCTTTCTTTGCTGCTTCTTTGTAGGCAGCATCCTTCTCAGCTTTAGCCTTAAATAACAAACATTGAGGTCGTTCGTTAAACATTCCCAACCTTTATCAATTGTACTTGACTTCCACCGTCCATAATTGTCAGTGCGAGCGATTGGATGTCACCTTTCCCAGAGGAGCCAGAAGTGATCGCAAGTGGACCTAAAAATCAAAAGTTTCATCTTTCAAAACATTCACAAACCAGTTTCATCATCCTCATCTTCTTCTAATGCGCCACTGCTCTCGGTGGGTCCAAAAGTAGCTATTTCACCGGGATTAAGTGTCTAAAATAAAGAATTTTAAAGTTCAACCATCTCTAATAAATTTAAACTCTCAATTCAATAAACTCACCGCATGAACTTTAATCCGATCGAAGATCGACTTTGACTCTTTCGTTTTTTCTTTGGAGTGCCTCCCTGTGACTTTGCTGGTGAAGGAGTCGGCGGAGGTGGTTTGGCTGTTTGGCCAGTTGACAATCTTGGTACAACGACGGTCGGTTGTGGAACCTAAAGTTTAAAAAATGAATGCAATCCGGCCTAGTACAAACCTTCAATAATCCAGGTGGTGGAATATTGGCAGCAGCTTTCGGTGGAATCGGCTTCACATCCGGCTTCACGTCATCGACTTCCATGGGGACTTCAGCTCTAGAACGAGGTTCAGGATCCTTCTAAATTGAGTGAATAAGTTAAATGAAAAAAGAGGAAACCTTCATGAAACGTTCCCAAGCCGGTCTATCATCCTCGACTGGAGCTGGCTCCGGAGAAGGTGGTGGCAATGGAGGCGCTATTGGCTCAGCTAAAACAAAAATTATATGATTCAAAGGAATTTTAGTAATCTTAACCTGGTAGTTGGCCAAAATTAAACTCACCAAATGCAGCTATTGGTGGCTGTGGTGGTGGAACAGGACTTGGTGGAGCCAGAGAAGTCGGATTTGCAGCAACTGGTGGTGGTGGCGGTGGTGGAGGAGGGGCGGGTGAAGCAGCCTTTGGAGATGCGAAAACCGGGGAAGCGTCACGTTGCCCAAACAGAGTCGACGTTGACGGTGACGCGGCACCTGCTGATCCATTAGACTTTGGCTGAAAATTAGAAAGATTAGTCGATTTTTGACGATTTCTCAAAATTTTTTCGCTTCTTTGACCCCAAACTTTCTATTGCAATGCAATTTTTGGCCAAGTAAGGAATGCTTTTATAAGCCGATTTCAAATACGCCTAAGAACCCAACAAATAAGAATTTTAACCAAGAAGAATTACAAGCTAACATTGTAGATCACAAAATGAGTGTTGAGAGGGTACAATGAATGAAATCAAATGTATATCACACAAAAATAAAAACCTGAAAAAAACACAAAAGTTACAATCGATAATTCGCCAAAAGTCCCTAAAAAATACGAGAAAAAAATAAGGAAGCAAACATTTTTAGTAGTACCTGCCATACTCCGGAATGAAAGAAAGGATCTAACAATTACGTGCGTGGCCCAACAACAAAAAAAAAGAGAATAGATACCTAAAATTTGATAGTAAGAGGCTTTGGTAAGACGCTCAAATCAGAACTTTTACCTTCAAGAAGATTTCATAAATATACATATACCCAAAGAGAGACCATAAGTAAAGATATTTCTCTGAAAAACGCAAACGCCATATAAACAATCAAACAAACGAGACAGAACTTGGCCGGGTTTTCGTGGTGTTTTGATCTGTCAAAATGGGTGAATCGCTCAAAATTTCGATCTAAAATTATGATATTCTAGAAAACCCGACAAATCAAATGTGTTTTTAAAAACCAGGCAAAGGAGAATAGTAGGAGGTGGCAGAGTATCCGCCTGGTGGAGTCGATGAGTTGAATGGATTCATTTGCGATGAGCCGCTTGGACTGCTGCTGCCCTGAAAGGCACGCACCCTTACTTGAAAACAATGAGAGAAAGCTCCCCAAACTTGTTTGACCGATATTTTCTTTTTGATTTTCCTTAACGAATACCCAAGAATCAATGAATGATGAACAACTAGAGTTAAGGGGACATAATTCAGTAAAGATTTCACGAAAAGACTTAACTCTAGTTGCCGATATCGCTGGTTGACTAACCTGTGTTGCTTCGAGTGCTTGCACTTTGGCCGTCGCCGCCGCTAACGCCATTGCCGTCGATTGGGGAAGAGCTGACTGAAAAGAAAATGTTTATGAGAGATTGAAGAAAGATATTTTATGTTGAATCCAAAAAACCGACCGGTGCTGCCGGAACAATGTAGTTTAGAGCTTCGGGTGGAGTTACACATCGACCTACCTAAAAAGAAATAAAGTTAACACTTTGACATTTGTGCTCACCCTCAGAAATTGCCCTCCTAAGTCGAACATGTTCATCCCCGCGACCGCTTCAGTCATCGACGTCGCGTTATTAAACTCGATGTAGCCGAAACCCCTAAAATTGAAAAAAGATACATTACAATTTAAGGCAAATCCTCACCTATGACCTCCTTTCACCGCATTGCGTGCCAATCTGCAGCTGACCACCTCGCCGAATGCCTCAAACACGCTCTTCACGTCAGTTTCAGAGAGGTCCGGATGCACGGAGGCCACGTAGACTCTAAAAGAATGAATGATTTCAATAGCGTTTAGAGCATTTTATTAGCCCAAAAGTCAGCTTACCTGTAATACTTCTTTGCTTCTGTCATCACCATGTCGATAATGGGTTGAGCTTGAGGAGTGGATGGTGTGGTTCGGCCCATCTAAAATTGAAAATTCTTTGATGCCAATGAAATCGCATAACACATTTACATGCAAACACGTTAAAACAACAATTTTGCCAAAAGATGCCGTAACTTCCCTAACCACATCGCCTCTTTTTTTGCCATACCATTGGTGATTGGGACAAGAAGGCGGGTCTTTGGCACTGAAAGAACCCAAAGTTTTTTTGCAGACCAGGCCGAGTTTTTAAGGGAAAAATTGCTTACACCTTGTTACAGCATCTTCTAACACTTTTTCAGTTCCTCAAATTTTTAACACATCTCATCAGAAGTCGGTCGAGTGCCCTGAAAAAACGATTGCCGTGTCGCGTCCAGCGCCTTGCGTGTGAAGAATCCCCGAGCTCCAGAGGGTTTTTTATCGAATTTGATTCCCATTAGTTCCGTGAGTGAAGTACTGCAAAACAACAACAACAAAAAGGGCATGCACACGAACGAGGAGAGGAAAGTACACGCAAGGACACCACACAACAACATCACGCCATATCAAGTCTTAGTTTAAAACATTGGATAAAGATGTCTCAACTGGACACATTTCATTTCCGACTTGATACAACGTGATTGGTTCTCGTTTTTTCGAACACCGACCTGATTCTGATTGAAGAGCCGAGTGGGAAGCACCTTGAGATTTCGTCCGCCCATCAGCAAGCCATTCATTTGTTCCTGGGCCAGTGATGCCGCTTCGGGGACCTCGTACTCCAAGAAGGCGAATCCTTTGTGGTGCTAAAAAGATGTTTAGATTAAGTTTTATTGACAGTTTAAATCTCAGCGTTTACGTTGCCTATTTGCAAATCTAATAACTCACTCCGCTTCCAGCATCCCAACTCATGTTCAGCGTCTTGATCGGTCCAAACGGTTCCATCGCTTTTCTCAGCATATCTTCGCGAATCTAAACATTGTTTTATAAGTTAGTATGCTTTTGCAAGTGTCACCTCAAAAGATATCGATCCCACGTAAACACGAGCCATCAACGACAACGCTTGGGCGTACATTTGCTGCTTTTGTTGCTGAAAAGAAAGATCTTAGAACCAAAATTTTGAAACTAACATTCTGTTGATGAACTTGTTGTTGTCGAAGCATGATTTGTTTAATTGAGATGTCCATGGCGTATCGTTTTGCATCGTAGAGTCGATCCTAAACAAAGAGAGTCAAGGAAATTAAAAATTTAACTGACCTTATCTCTTGACCGCAACTTTTTCAAACCCAATCCGACGAGTCCAGCCTCTTTTTGTGCACCGGGACCAACGTAAACCTAAAAAATCTTGTCATTAATCCCAATGAACAAAGCTTAGACTAGAAATGGCTTTTACTCACCTCTCCAGCTTGCTGAAGAAACGGCATTGGAATGTTTGGAGTGGGCGCTGAGTGCATCGGATAGTATGTAGTCGCCGCCACTTGCGGTGGTGGTGGCACAGGCGTTGAAGATGAAGCGGTCATCGACGAGGCCAATTCGACGTTCTTCACATCGGTGTCCATTTCTACTAAAAGTAACAAATTAATACAGTTGAGATACTTCAAAATTTAACATAAACCTGTCCAATGATCTAGTATCGTAAATTTTTACTTGCCAACGAACTTACTTTGCTGAAATGCTATTCCATTTTGTCCGTAGTTCATTTGATCGATGATCGGGTCCTCGAACCTAAATAAATATTTGATAATTGGAACACTTGCGAAAATCGAAAGGTTACGAAATATAATACTTTCAAGTATAAAGTCGGTTTAAAACCAATCCTTTTCAAAACAACAAAAAGCACTTTTAGTAATCAATAAAAATTTATTGACTGTAAAGTATATATGAAACTCAAAATAATATTAAAGCGGCGGTAAATCGAAAAAATCTTTTCACACACTAGAAGATCAAGAAACGTACAGGACATACAAAGAGAAGAAATAAAATCAAAAAGAGTTACCGCCAGAGAACATAAAAATAACCGTAGATAAAAATTTCTCTACCGTCAAAAAGAAGATGGGCATATTTGAGAAGGGGTAAGCTACTAGATTGACTTGGGCCGGCAAACACGCTCTCAAATTGAAGATTTGTACAGGGTGCTCTACAAGATAAAATACTTAAAACAAGAAACAAACTTCGAGAGAAAAACCTATGACATTAGGAGAAAATTGGAAATACACAACGCCATTTGAGGAAGAATGGATGGAGTGCTCGAGGAACCCCAAAGATGTCCTTTGTAAAAGATCACACCTCGAACACACCCGAACGACAAAGGAGTACAAGAATAGGTGAGTGCTGAGTGATTTCTCGTGATTGCTAAGCCAGTTGAGAGATCATTCATGACAAAACGACCGTACAAAAAATATCCAATAGAGGAACTGAGTGCTGAGTGGTCGACCGCTTCAAAATGGAGGAACAACAGATTCAACTAAAATCAAAATCGATTGGATTGGCCTGATTGATCTCTGGTAAAGTAAAAGAGCATAAGCGTTTACCTCACTTGATAAAAGACGCAATTTGACAGAGGACACAAAAAAAACAGAGTCAATGAATAAATAAGCCTATCTCAATGGCAGATGTTGGGAAAACAACACGCTACTTTTGGCACAATCTGGGAAAATTATTTGAGACAATTTGGCTCCAGAAATTGTTCAAATAGGCATACAAACTACAACTCAAAGAATATCAAGAATAAAATCTGAACGGATAAAATGATCTAAACACACAGACAAATATAATCACCGGATAAACGAGAGAAATTTCATGGATGTGAGCAATTAATCAGATGACGATATGGAAGACGTTGTGAAAACCTGAAGTAAAGGATTAAATGGTTGAAAGTTTGGCAAAATTACCTTGGCGAGGGCATCGGCACCAGCAGATCCAATATACGGTCGAGAAGGATGAAAAGCCACGGTGTTCACGGAGGCGTCCAACTTCTTTCGGTGAGCTGCCACTTCCTAAAGAAAAGACATTTTTATAACTTGCAAAGTTATGAAAAGTTTTGAAAGTTGGTCGTAGTGCTAGGTAACTTTTATCGAATCAAAGTCTTACTTGCAAGCAGACTCGCTTTTCCATGTTCCATAGTCGTAGTGATCCATCGTGACTTCCCGAGAGCAAGTAGAGACCATTTGGATCAACCGCAAGTGATGAGATCGATTCCACATGAGCGATAGCCGCATGAACCAATTCGCCTAAGCATCCGTTCAATTTGAAACAAGAGTCCACAACTAACCTGTTCTGTTGTCAAAGTATCGCAGCTTCCTGTCCTCTCCTCCAGTGATTGTCATGGGCATTGTTGGATGCGATAAAATCTTGTTCACATCGGAGCCATTTGTTGCATCTAAAGTACAAAGTTATCGGAATACAATAAAATTACCAAACCTTCGCCAAAGTCAAACTTCACGACGTTTTGTCCAGTCTCGATGTCAAGGATTCCGGCGATATTCGACTTGAACGCGGTGAGCAGTTGTTGGGTCTCCGTTGAAACAAAATCGAGCGATGTTGGCGTCGAATTTTCCACCCAGCCAGTATACGTCTTGAGGAGAGGCGAGTCACCGAACATGCCTAAAACATAAGAAAATGAAATGTTAAACTTTTAACGAAATACCCGGCTCCCAAACTCGAATCGTTTTGTCGGCAGACGCCGAAACCAAGCGCGTATCCGAAGAATGATAGGCGACCGACCAAACCGCATCTGTGTGGCCAACCAGGCGCTCAACAAGCACAGCCGAATCTTAATAAGATATTGACATCTCTTCTTTTTTAAATCACCAACCATATTTGTCGTAGACGTCGCTGATGTTCAACGGGATGCTCCAGCAGCAAATAACGCCATCAAATCCACCCGTGTACAAATGATCTCCCGTCGGCGATAAGTCCAAGCACAGCGATGGTCCGTAATGGCCACGGAATGTGTAGGCCGGCTCGATCTCCACTAAAAATACAAAATAAGCAATATTATAGTTTTGCGATAGCATACCGTATTTATCTTCCTTCGTTTTCATGTCCAAATTCCACATTTTGCACGTACTGTCCTCCGATGTGGTGAAGAGAACCGGCTCAACTGGGTGAAACTAAAAAGAACTAGACGTGCAAGACAAAAAATTCAAACCTGCATGGCTCTAACTGAATCTAAATGCGATCGGAGCGTCAACGCGAGGTTCCACTTTGGTGTCTGTCGCATATCGTCATCCTAAAAAACAACGATATAGTATTATTAAACCTGAACTATACCTCTCCGGCAAAGTTGTCCTTGATATCAATGGCATCATCGACCAATCCGAGGGCCTCGTTGATGTCGGCGAATTCGCCCTTGCTTTTTCCCTTGAAGGCTAGCTTCTCACTATGGTGTCCATCTAAAAGAAATAGATAAATGCATCTGAGGATGATAAAGTCCAGTCAAAGGTTGTCCCGTACCTAGTTCTTCAATTGATTGGTCATTGAAGTCCTTGGATCCCCTTGTTTCATCGTTCGGCCCTCCGCTTCCACCCGAGTTTCGCTTTGAGCGCTTCTCATTCCTACACATTGACGGTTAAGTGAATAAGCTAACCAAATTACCTGTAGCGTTCAATTTTCGCCTCCAACTGCCCAGCATTCACATTCCCATCCCAATTGTCGTCACTCTTCTAAAAGGAAAAAAAATGAAAGGCCGTTAAATTAGCAAAACCTCAAGAAAGTTGAACTCGTGCAATGCATCGGCCGTCTCCATATCCAACTCCTGGCGTTGTTCATCGTTGTCCGAGTCACTAAAACCAAAAGTTAGAATATAATTTTTTCTCCAAAGTTTATACGCCACCAAAACATGTTATTAGTCAACAAAGTGGGGGTTTGCTGAGAACTTGACTAAGTTTTTCACAAACTTTCTCGCGTTTATGCTCAAGCTGGTTTAGTGACTAAATTTTGTCTTAAATCTTTGCAATTTGTGGTATTTGAGAGTTTGTATAGCTACTAAATAATTTCAGCATTAAATTTCACCTGTCACTCCTCTCCTTTGCCTTTTTCCGTTTTACATCTGCGTCTTCGTCTGTTTGTTGCATCAAGTTGACGAGATTTTTCATTCGGAACGCGCGGACATCCATCACTGCCTCTGAGTAGCCGATTTCCTAGATACAAACCAATTACTTCGTCATAAAACTTCAAGTTTGACTAAATTGTAGAACAAGGGTAGCTTTTGTTTAAATACGCATTAGAATGCCTTAAGTCAAGTCATTGAAAAGTTTCAGCATCAAATTTAAAATCAAAAACTCCCCTAATTCTACACCTTAGTTTGTATTTTCCGCTTTCTAGCCTCTTTCATCCATAAGGGGTATTCGTCGCTCTAAAAAAGTCAATTTAATAGACGCAGCAGTAAGCTTTGTGCCCTTTAATAGTTTAAAAGACAGTTTAGTTTAGTATTGGGTTGGCGGGGTTTTGAACGCGAATTTTTCGCAAATCAATTTTTTTCCAAGAGAACGAAGTTATTAAAATTAGTTAGGTTTTTACCATTAGAAAGGCCAATCTGTGTTCTACCTTGGGCTTTTCAGCGTTTTTGAAAAGCTTCAGTTATGGCAATTTTTCCGGGATCCAAAGACAAGTCGTGAAAATCGTTAAAAATAGTTTAGTTGGGAAATTTTTCGATGGAAAGTTAGCATTGATTTTTGCTCAAATGAAAGACCAAGCCTTTATACATTTTCAGTCAAATTTTCAGCCAAATCCGTCCATCCGTTTTTTCTAAATGTTTCAAATTTGTTCGAAGGTCTCTCAAATGAGCAAACACGCTTATTTTAATTCATTCTTCAAAGAAACATTCTGAAAAAACGGCTGAAAGGATTTGGCTGAAAATTTGCTGACATGTGCAAAACGAGTTGTTCAAAAGTTCGAGTAAAAACATTCCAAATCGATTCCGCAAAATAGGTAGTTGTCGGCGAGTTTCAATTTTTGACGAATATCAGAATCGTCAGAATGATAAACGTTTATCTACTTATCTACCTCTATCTTTATCGTTTATCTACTTGCCTTTTGGGCCCCGAAAAATCCCAAAAACAAAAGCTTTTCAAAATCGCTGAAAAGCTTAATGTAGAACACAGGACCAATTCTAATAGCTTCGTTCTCTTGGAAAAAGTATTTTTGCGAAAAATTCGAATTCAAAACCCAACAACCTAATTGTTTACAAGCATTAATCAAATTCTTAAAGAAAATGTTTGTCCGTGGATTGGCGGGAGGATAAATAGCACCATGTTTTAGCATTTTAGTAACTTTTGAATTAGAGCTAGCTTCCAATGATCACACCAAAGTCCTCACCTCCAAATATTGTTTAAGTAGAAGGCGGCCGGCTTTGAATCCGTGAAGATTTGGAGGAAAGGGATCGACCTCCGTGGTGGCTGTAGCAGTAGGAGCATCTAGTTAGACAAAATGTTATTAACTACGCGACAATGAGTTGAACCTTTGTTAGCCTCTTCCTCATCCCTGTAGTCCATTTCGGGTGGCTCTTCTCCATTGTGGCTCAAACGGTAGCACTTGGCTCTAAAATAGGAATTATGAAGGACTGATGTGTTCAAAGCATACCGCTCCTGTTTCAAGCAGTACTCAAGCATCTTGATTCGTCGCACCAAATCGTGACGGAGGTTCTCCTGGCCTTTGCGCTCGCCTTGTAGAAATGAGATTCGAGCCTGAAAAGATAAACGTTAACAAACATAAGTTAATCATACTGGTGCTACTACATCGTAATCTCGTTCGCAAAAACTGAACGTATCTTCTTAAAAAATCGCCTGCTCACGGTATTTTAATGGTCCAGCTTTAATGTTTCTTTGGTATCAAATTTTGATTTGACATATCTCTACACTACGAAAGCGTGCTATTCTCAGGCTGCAAGCCTTCAATGAATAACAAAAAACAAAACGATTTTATAGGGGTAAACAAACAACACGATTTTATAGGCCTTTGGGATACTTGCTAAACCCATATTTTTCGCTGTGCCAAAAGTTTGCGTGTCCTGTCCTAGCTCCAATCCAGAGCTTCCACTCATCCGACAAATTCCAATCCAGTCGTACCTGCAGCTCGGCGCGTTCCATCTCCCATTTTGCTCGTTCCATCTCGTAGCGGCCCCACTCGTGTTGAACGAAGTGCAACACGCCATGCATCGTGTAGGGAGGCCGACGCTAAAATGAACAGATTGTATAAAGTTATGAATAGATTATGTTCTTAAGGTTATGAACGCAACTAGCTATTTGATTCAGCCCCCAAAAACAAGTATCAACATGTTTCTAGCAAAATTTTATACCTGTACTTAGCAATTTAGCAATTTTAAGGATTTCGCAGGATTTTGAGTTGAACTAGATAATATCAAAGGGGTTTTTTATGGATCTAGCTCAGAACAACAAATTTTAACCAAATCAGAGATTAATGTACGCTTAGAATTTGCAAAAAGATGATGATATCTATGCCGCTGTAAATTGCTACATAAGACTTTTCGAATGCAACTAGCAACCAACCAAGCTAACTTTTCAAATCAAAAGCTCATGCCTCATCTTTTCCATCTTGTTGTCCATTCTCGGATGCATCCGATCCACCCGGCCCTGCTAACGACGGTCCACTCGTAGCGACCAACATCGAGATCTAAAAAGAAATGAATTGCAACTTGCTGAAGAAGTAACTGCATGAAATGTAGAGAAAACATTTGAAAGTGAAAAATTTGCGTAAAAATTAGGATTTCCGCGGAACGTAAAGGTTAAAATGGAGCTGAAGGTCAACAAATGTCACTCGGATTAGATAAAGTAAGGGATGATCACGTCAAAATGATCCATTGAATCGGCTATTGGAAGGGTTACGAGATGAAATTGGAAAGAATATGGCATAAAGGTGAATTTGCTTGAATGCAACTTGATAAGCTAGTGTTTACGCTTAGAATATACTGGTGATCACAGAATATACTGGTGATCACAGAATATACTAGTGATCACATCTATGCAACTTCAACTTGATCGAAAGACTTTAGAATGTTAACCTAATAGCTTGTTAGTTAACAAGCTATTAGGTTAACATTTCGAGCTGGTCAAAACAGTGCTAGCCAATGCGTTTGCGGTTAAGTTTCTTTGTGTTTCTTCTTTTCATTAGATGTATTAGCTATCTGGAATGAGAGCTGGAATGAGAAAATGCCCAAAAAAAAAGAAAAAAGGGCTTAAAGAGGTTAATTGAGCTTTTCTCGACACCAATTCTGTTTTAAGTGATCCTAAAGTATGCAGAATGTAGATAATTTTATTCTGCATCCAATAAGAATAAGAAACATAAAGAAACTTAACCGCGGGGGGATATTTTTGCCGTGGCGCTGACCAGCTCCCCATTTGGCAGCTTGATAAAAAATTTTTCGGCTAGTCGGCTCTGGTTTATGATAGTTAGTCGTTGTTTAGATTTCGCGAGCAACTAAGTATAAAAGGAGTGCATTTTTCTTTGTTTCTAGAGCTTTCTTGTAGATTTTTAACTGTTTCAACCGTTTCTAATCAACAACTTGCATCTTATCAAAGGCTAGAGAGGTACGATAATGTATTTTGCTTTAAAATCTTCAATACAGAAAGATTTTTCAAATTTTATAGGCTCTAAAACTTTGAAGCAATGCTTTTCACTAACTTTAGCTTGAAATTAGATATTTCTAGGTCAAATCTAAGTCCAGAGCTTTTAGAACTAAAAAATGAAGTTGGAAAAAGCTTTGCGCCAAATAAACGTCAAAAATTTTCAATTAAAACATATTTACGCATTAAAAACATCGCATTAATGTGAAATTTTGCGGCTAAAAGCCTAAAATTATCAGTTAAGAATTTGAAAAAATTCGAATAGAAGAAAATTTTCGAAGAAAATATCACCGGGTGTGTTAACGGCCAATAAACGCCAGAATCGCCCCGAAAGCGGAGAGGAGGCGCGCGGCGGGGAGTACGGTAGAAAGGACACGCTTTATTGCGAAAAGCGTTTCGACGTTTCGACGACGTTTCAAAAAGCGATTAGAAAAACGTACTTGAAGAATTTGATGAAATCACAAGCTCTCGACAATGAATTGTTTTAAAGGGTATTAATCGCGGCCGGGTGACCATAAAAATTTTTTTTACGGCAACCACCTGTTTTTTTATTTTAATATCGTTGATTTTATTATAAAAAGAATAAAAATCATGCGGCTAGAGTGATTTGATGGGTTTACGAATTTTTGGAGACGCTGCAAAGCTTGGAAAAAACAAGATCGTCACTCATCAGGATTTAAGTGTTGAGCTTCTGCTTCTGGCTTCTGCGAAAGTCTGGAAATTTCGGCAACGCTCAGAGTGCACTAATTTTGGAGTACATTTCATAACCTAGCAGCATTTCATAACCAACTTCATTTCATAACATTTCATAACATTTCATAACCTAACGGGAAATGATAAAGAAGCGTAAAATAGTCATCAACTCGACTCGCCGAAGTGCACTACTACAGTGCGTTTCAAATTCTTAAACGCACCCTCTAAAATAGCGGATTTTGCATTTTGACCACCGCTACAACTATTAATCTTTTTCTATTAGAAAGAGCATGTCTTAAAACCTAAATAACACGAAAAAGAAGCATACTGTAAAAAGTAAAAATTTTCAAAATAGAAACTTTTTGCTGATTTAGCAAAAAGTTTCTATTTTGAAAATTTTTACTTTTTACAGTATGCTTCTTTTTCGTGTTATTTAGGTTTTAAGACATGCTCTTTCTAATAGAAAAAGATTAATAGTTGTAGCGGTGGTCAAAATGCAAAATCCGCTATTTTAGAGGGTGCGTTTAAGAATTTGAAACGCACTGTATTAGACGTACTTTTTCAAAATCTAACCCAATGTCAGAGTCTAGAGGTGGTTCATTCCTTTTGCAGATTCCCTTTAGCGCTTCTTTATCAAATTTTCCGTTAGAGCTGATAGGTTATGAAATGTACTCCAAAATTAGTGCCCTCTGAGCGTTGCAGCTCTAACTTATTTCAAACTTAGAGCCGCTAGGTTATGAAAGCGTTAGAGATTACGAAACGTACTCCAAAATTACATACAAGAAATTCAGTCGCTTTCCATTCTTGAAGAAAAAAAATAGAGACTCTAGATCTCTCTCTCTCGTAGGTAATCTGATTATTTTCATTTCCATTCGATCTTTTATCTTCGTATCTTTCTTTTCTCTCTATATTTATGATCTGTGCATTTCTCTATGATTTCTCGATTTATTGAATTTCACTTTATCATCTGAATAAAAGTATGATCATTTTACGTTTTCAAATGAAAAATTCAAATGAAATGAATGAACTCTTTCAAATGAAATTGAATGAATTGTCCGTAGGAATGAAAAGGAAATAAAAATGAATCAATTTCGATCACTTGAAGTCAATTAAAATATCAAAATTGCCTGAAAATATTGCCAAAACGATCGATTCGCAAAAATGAGCAAAAATGACAGCCACTGGCATTTCTCTAGCATATAAAAGCAAGACGAAACTTCGGGAAATCAAATTTCATTTCCCCCAAATGCCTTCTTTTTTGTTCGATCATCGAATATCTATTCGGAAAGATTGGTTTCCCGTGGTCAAGCGAAATCGAGACGTTCAAATGCTTCAATTGCTCGTCGTGCAATAAACCGTGTAAGGGTTTTAAAAAAATCGATTAGTTAACTCGATTCCTTTGTAAACTTTAGATAGATTATTATGATTAAATAACTACCGTAAATACTGTAATAGTACCCCCGCCCCCGATAATGACGGTGCGGAGTGTTGCGTAGTCTAGCTTTGAACGAGTTTTTCTCGACACTGGTTTATGCTACAATGCTCGTTTAAATATCAAAAAATAGCTGAAATTCAGGGCTATTTTTTGATATTTAAACGAGCATTTAGCTTGATAGCTCCCTTAAGCTAATGAGGTGCGGTGTAGTCTACAGCCTAGTAACCCCGCCCCCGATAATGACGGTGCGGAGTGTTGCGTAGTCTAGCTTTGAACGAGTTTTTCTCGACACTCGTTTACGCTATAGTATTTACGATGGGTTCATTAATATTTAAGCTTTTAATCTTTAAACATAGCCAATACCCAGCGGTGGGTAGATTTAAACGAAGAGTAGTTCGGTAGACGACCGTTGTTCGCGCGAAAATCGGAAAGCTCTCGATGAATGCTTTTTATCATTAAGAAATTGTCTTGCTAAAGTCTATGCTCAAGTTTTGTAATAAGTTATGTTCAAAAAATAGCCTTGAATTTCAGCTATTTTTTGAAAGTACGGGCGCTTTGAAAAAAAAAAAAATGAAATACTAGAAAACTGGAAAACTAGAAAACTTTTGCGACTACGCGATTGTACGAGGGTGGTGGGGTACTATTGTAATACTGTAGTAGCTACCGTAAATACTGTAGTATACTGTAGTATTTACGGTAGCTAAATATCTATCTAGATCTATCTAGATAGCTAGCTAAATATCTATTTTATCTCCAAAATACTTGAATTTTTTTCAATCCTAACTAGCAAACTGATTTCTATATTTCTTAAATGACTTTTAAGACAGGAAAAGCTACCGTAATCTGTCTGTCTGAGTCTGTGTCTGAGTCGTCGTCTGAATATTTGGGATTACGGTAGTTTTCATTCCGAGAAATTCCAAAGGTTTCATTTTCATTTTGAGCTCATTTTGCTCTTCGAGCTTATTATAACACCGTCACACCACGCGCGAACATTTGCCTCCGTGGTCTAGTGGTTAGGCTGCTTGACTACAAAACCAGTCACAGCTTTTTTGTCCGCGAGTTCGAATCCTTCTTTCGCCAGAAGGACTTTTTAAATTTTTCCTTTATTGAATTATTCACTCGATATTATTGAATGTAAGTTCAAAAACTCATTTCAAAACAACAAACAAAAGCTTGAAGCTTTCAAAGTAACAAAATGAGTCGAGTGTTCAAAATTTTCAATATTTCAGTATTTCTTTCACTTCTGAAACCTCAAAATAAGTGAAAAGACAAGAATTTTAAAGCGAAAATCCAAAATTCATAGATTTCAGTCATTTCAGTCATTTCAGTCACTGCAAGCAACACCGCTCCATCTTCACCAATCGCTTTGCTTTGCGGCAGTGCTGTGAGTGATTTCTAGCTTTAAGAGCTTAGCTTTAAGAGCTTAGCTTTAAGAGCTTAGCCTTAAGAACTTAGCTTTAAGAACTTAGCTTTAAGAGCTTAGCTTTAAGAACTCAACTCTCAAGAACTCAAGTCTCAAGAACAGAAATCCTCCCAAATTTCGAAAGGAATCTAGATTCAGCTTTCAGATTTGCAAGCAATGCTTCGAACGTGATGCGCTTTTGTCGACGGAAAAACGCATTCATCGGTGCGGCCGTGAGCATTGCCCGGAAACCATCATTCCCGCCTTTTATCTCATCAGTGAGTTTGTTAAAGTTGAAATTTAACTTCAAACGATACTCTACAATAAAATAACTGTTCAATGAAGTGTATCCAAAGAATTGAACCGATTTTTTAGCTTTTGACAGGCTACTTTTGCACAACAAGTACACGATAAGGCAAAAAATGTTTTTTTGTTGAAAATCAAAAATCTGAATCCTAAAAATTCTAGAGTGACATCCAGATAGAAGAAAAAGCGCAATTAAAATAAGATTGCG